GGAAACATTTGAAAGATCGGCTGAAAATTACCCGTAATTACGGGCCCGTTACATAACGTCATTCATGTCTAGGCCATCTACAAGATGGGGGATTCTCTCTCTTCAACAACATGGGGAACTCGAGTAGTTCGCAGAAGATTTCTGCCCAGGATCGGTGAGTACATATTGTTTATTGTATACAATATCCCCAATCCATTCTCAATGGTGTCAGTGTGAGCATACTATTGTTCGCCGACCCCCTCATCCCCGCCCAGCATGTCCATTCAAGGAACACAATAGCTTGTATGATTCCCACTTAACAATCCGTGGTGTCTACAGGGCAATCCTCGACCTCAAAAACCAACGCGACAGACTGCACCAATATCAGCGACGAATAACCGTCCTCACAGACCGCGAAACTGAAATCGCCAGGGAATGTCTCGCGCGCGATGATCGGCGGCGAGCACTGCTCGCCCTCCGACGCAAGAAATACCAGGAATCACTTCTTGCGAAGACAGATGGGCAACTTGCGCAGCTGGAACAGTTAACTGGGCAGGTGGAGTTTGCGCTTGTGCAGAAAGACGTGTTGTTTGGGTTGCAGCAGGGAACGAAGGTGCTGCAGACGATCAACAAGGAGATTGGTGGTATTGAGGGTGTTGAGAGATTAATGGGGGAGACCGAGGAGGCGAGAGCTTATCAGGAGGTATGTCCCTCGTTTTTGTTTGCTGCACTTGTGCAGGTTGGATTGGGGTATGATTAGGGTTCGGTGCTGACAGCTTGTTATAGGAGGTGAGTCAAATGCTGGCTGGTCATTTGACGAACCAAGATGAGGATGAGGTAGAGGATGAACTGGAGGCTCTGCAGCGGGAACTTGCTGGTCCTGAAATCCTGCCTGATCCTGTTGTACTGCCGAGTCCGCCTACTGCTGATTTGCCTGTTGAAGAACCGGTGCCGGAGTCGACTCAAAGAGCCAAGGCCAAAGCTGAGACTCGGACGGCGTTGCACGCTTAATAGGGATATGTTGGATCCTCGTTGCACAGCACCAAATCATTGCATATATTGATCCAAAGCATTTTGTGGCGTTGGCGCTTGTTTATTTTTTGTTGCCTACATTGCTGATGGATTTCCTGCGTCCATGGCGTTGGTGGTTGGTTCTGTTGCTTGTAAAACCCATGGTTGCCAATTTGTGAATGCATCCTCTATAGATGATGACACCCGAGGTTTTACAAATGATACTCGGTATACGAGCTCACTGTACGGAAAGACCATAAATTAATAAAATCCATGTAGAAGTACATAGTAGAATGGTACTGTCGTTAATCATCAAGACACCCCAAAACACACCGAGACATACTCATCCCTGTGAAAGAAACATCCAAACACAGTCTACTGGCCAGGCATGATACTGCCAACACCACTCATACCGGGAATAGAGACATGGTCCTGAGGGTTCGCTGCAGCCTCGTAGAGGAAATTAATCGGCTCCCGAGTCAACTTCATAAACTGCCCCTTGAAGCCTACATACCCAACCTTAGTAACATCCTCCTCGCCATCACTCCAATTATCCTCAAAGAAAAGCGTGACAGAAGTAGTCGCGTTCCAATGGGCACGATTCAAGGGCAGTTCAAAGACATCGGCGCCAGGTACAGGCTGCGGGACCTCAATAATTTGAGTCGGGTGCAACTCCGATGCAGTTGAGAAATCCATATCATCGCGGTTCTTGAACAGTTTTACTGTCTTTGGGGCAGAGTTTGTAGGCGCGGTGTACAGGAGAAGGGAGTGAACGTTGACTTGGCCGTTAAAGCTGTTGTAGAAGATCTCGGGTTAGTTTTGCGGCGATAACGGTGAGGGGCAAGATTGGGGGTTTGTTTGGGATTTTCACAACACGTTGGAGTCAACAGCTACAATAAATTGTAGAATGTGTGGAATGAAACTCACGGGATGGTCATGAGCAGTTGTTCGTCGGCATCGCTCTCGAGCTCAGGCTTGTCGTTTAGTCGCTCGGCCCAGGTTTTCTGAACGATGGATGCACCAGAGTTTGGAGTGGTCTCTGTCAATTGCAGATTAGAACTTGTCACTAGTAGTTACCTAGGAATTTCAGGGTTCATGTATACCATTCAGCGTCGTGATCAGGTCGAAGTTGATCTGAGAATAGAGGAGGGATTGGATGGCTGGAGTGACATCGTTGGTATGGTCGTGATCCTCGCCGTGGCAGTGGCCATCGTGATCATGGTGCCCTGACATTGTAAGATATGTAAATTTGGTGTACAAGATGCGAACAGTAAGAGACGAATTTGGAGATTTGAAGTTGAAAAAGTGTTTGGGGGAAGCTCTCCACTCCCGTGACGTCGTTTTACTTCGAAGAATTGAGGTGATTCTATGTACATATTACAAGAGCTCATATTTGGAGTTAATATCTTCTACTGTTTTACAATGTAGGCATGATGCATATCTTAATATCACTCACTGTATAGTAGCCTAGATTGCCTCTCGCTCTTATAGATCTATAAAATTCATACTATATCTCAAATCCGCAGCCTCCTGAAACGCCTGGGTATTATTGTACATATTCCTCTCTAGCTAAATTCTAAGTGTTATTATTGCCTGACTCGGTAATAGCCCGGAGCATACTCCAGCAGGTAACTCTTCTCGATCTTAGTGACATCGCGGATATAAGTCTTTTCACCCGTCTGCATAATCTCATGGAATATGACCCAGTCGGCTTTTCGGTTCTATAATCAAGTCAGTAAACCGAATATGAACATTCCCAGCATGATCCATGAGCACTTACAAACATCAGCGAGGTGGGGTGAGCATGAAGAGTCAGACCACCGCTGACAGTCTTGAAAGTTCCATCCGGTTGCATCTTCGCCGCATGAGCAAAATAGCCCGTCGTAAGACACCGCCGAATCTGCTCCGGTTGGCGGCTCAAATCAGCTGGGCCATGACGGGATGAGAGTGTCTCATCGACTTGAATGCCAAATCGTTCTAGGTACCGTTTTAACTGGCCCCGGATGCTCACTGCACGTAACAGTGCCCGATAATTCAAGAGATTATCGCGACACCATTTGGGGTCTTTCTTTCCCTTGGTGACAAAGGCTTGGTAAACGTTCAGGTACGTCAAATGGTCGCCCTCTTCGACGGCAAACTTTCGCCGATGGCTCTCGGCCGATCTTTTGTCTCCGGCGTGCTGAACCCACACCGTCCCCTGGAGGTTGACCATGGCCGCAATTGTGAGGATTTCACTTAGACAATTGAAAGATGGCGCGGTGAGAAGAACTTTGGCCATCATAGGATCCAGAGCAATTTCTGCCATCCGCGTTCCAAGCGGTTTTGTAAGTTTGGCATAGTCGTCAATCGCACCGAGAGAGGACAGGAGCTCAAGTGCACGGATGATCAGTTCTGCCGGCGGAGGTGTCAAGAAGTCGAACCGGACGATGTTATCGATACCCAGTGCCTTCAGCTGCATAATAACCGGTGCAAGATTTGACCTCTGAATTTCAGGTACGGTTGCTTCCGGCATCTGCTCGAATGCTTGTTGCGTGTACAGACGGAAACATTTCCCTGGTTTCGTTCTTCCAGCGCGACCAGCTCGCTGGGTGGCAGATGCTTTTGATATTGGCACTGCAGTCAATGTATCAATACCAGTATTGGGATTGTATGCCCTGAGCTTGGCGAAGCCGGAATCAATCACATATACAATCCCGTCGATCGTGACTGATGCCTCGGCAATGTTGGTTGAAACAATGACTTTTCGGGTGTGTTCTGGAGTCGGCTCGAAGACGTACATTTGCTGTTCCGTGGTGAGTCCAGCATAAAGTGGCAGCGTAAGCAGAGAGGGTGCCTTTGGATGGAGAGTTGCCGCTCTCTCGGATATCAACTGGATCGCAGTGTCGATCTCTTCTCGGCCAGTCAAAAAGATAAGTACGTCGCCTTCTGCTTCTTGAGTATGGATATCAAAGACGGTCTTGACTGCTCGCTCTATGTAATCCTCTGCCGGAGAGTCGAGGAACAGCATGTCGACTGGATACATTCGTCCTTCCAGACTGATGATCCGACCAACGTTTCCACCCAAATCCGCCGGATCTGCCTCAGGCTTGTACTCCTCGCCGGCAAAGAAACGAAGAAAGTTCTCTGCTTGGAGGGTTGCACTACTAACAATAATGCGAAGTTCAGGGCGCTTCTTGCGGATCTTCTTTAGAGTCCCAAGGAGCACATCGGTACTGAGAGATCTTTCATGTGCCTCATCAACCATGATCACTGAATACCGCGAAAGTAGAGGATCCACCAGGGCTTCTCTGAGCAGCATTCCATCTGTCAAAAATTTGATCCTTGTTGCAGGAGACGTCAAATCTTCGAATCGGATGGAGTAGCCCACCTCTTCACCGACTTTACAGCGCATCTCTTCGGCTACTCGCGTTGCAACCGTTGTAGCAGCCACACGCCGGGGCTGGAACAGAGTTAGTCGCTACTCAATTTGAAGAATGATAGGATTAGTGCTCACCTGTGTAACCGCAATGGTCTTCCCATCCTCGCACCATCCTGCCTGATCTAGATACTGCGGAAGCTGAGTTGTTTTCCCGCTGCCTGTTTGGCCCACCACGATAGTGACGGGGTATTTTTCAACCAGGTAGAGCAGACTCTTCTTGTGGCGTGCGATAGGCAGTAAAGCAGCCGGTTTATACAGGGCTGGAATGAAAGAGGTCGAGAGCTCCTGTTCGGAAGCCATTTTAGACCAAATTTGAGCCTTGAACGGACTCTGCTGAATGGGCTGTTGAAAGAACCCAAATTAAGATTGGGCCATTCTGAAAATTCAAGCTCGCAGATTGGCAACTTGGAGATCCTCGGAGTCGCAGAAACATCCAGATCTGTATAAGGCTCGCCCGCTATCACGTGCGCCCCACGTCACTTGGAGCTTCCCCGATATGTTCTGCTCCTAGACATTCTCAGGCAACACTGTTTTTTCTAAATTTCCGTTCAGTCACTTTCGATACTCTGTTAGATCCTAAAGATAACTCAAGATGTCAGAGGAGGACAAGATGGTATGTTTGCTTTCCAGATCTCACTTGTCGCATAAGGCTCACGTTCATACACAGAACACTCCCAAGCCTTTGGCTGTCCTTAACTCCCCTACCAGCCCCCGGCCCGAGTCGCCAACTACCGCGCGCCCGATGGACTTTGACGATGAGCCCCAAGAGAACGGAGTTGCTACTTCCTCCCCTGTGGCTGCTCAGCCAGTTGCCCAGCCAGCTGCCGCCGAGGCCGCCCCGCCAAAGCCGCCCCGGCCCCTGAACCCGAGAGAACAGTCAGAGAATACCCTTAGAGAGGCATTTCCAAGCATCGAACCTAGTGTTGTCAGAGCCGTCTTGACCGCAAGCAATTGGAATGTCGAGCGGGCGTTCAATGCCCTCCTGGGTTCGTGGGGAACCTACTATTTCTTGAAATGGGTATAAGCTGACCAGGACCTCTGCCTGTAGGTATGACCGACCCCAAGGCCCAAGAGGAAATGACACCGCCGCCAAAGCCGCCGCGCCCAACCCAGCAGAGCACTGCTGCACAGCGACAACTGGAAGCCGATGAGATGTATGCGCGTCAACTATCGGAGCACTACAATGCGACAGGACGTCGCGCACCGCCCCCGAACTGGGAGAGTGACCCCCGATACCAGAGACCTAGAGGAAGCGAGGAGTCGGAGGAGAGAGAATACAGCTTCTTTGATGGTATGGACTATGGTGGCTTGGCCAAATGAGCTCGTGCTAATTGTTTACAGATGATCTACCTGTGATCCGCGAGAACCTCCGCAAGGGCTTCCTAGATACACAGAGTAAGGTTAACTCGTGGGTAACAAACCTGAAGAAGAGAATTGATGGAGATGATTTGGACGAGGAACCTATCCAGAATCAAAGACAGACTCCGGCCAATGCCCGGCCCCGACGGAGTGGTGATATGGGCCGTCGCAGTGGAGATCGTGAGCGCTATGACGCAGATCCCCAGGTTCTCAGCGATGATTTCTCTGCTCTCGAGTTGAGGGATGGCGAAGGTAAACAACGATCTTAAGTTTGGCATTGGGTTTTGCTAACTGTGCCCCAGCTCCCCCACCTCGCCCCCTCGTCCGGGCCAGTCCAGCTTTAAACATTCTGCGTCTCCTTCGCCAGACCGGCGCAGGGTGTCCTTCCAGGATGGACCTCCCACCGAGATTGACAACCTTTACGATTCCTCCACACCATCCAAGCGTCTCAGCTCAACGGGCAGCAAGGCGAGCAAATGGCAACCATTGTCCAGCGTCGCGCCTTCGCCCGTCGCGGAGAACGACCCCTTTAGCCTCGGCGATAGCGATGACGAGAAGGAAACTAAGACTAAAGAGCAGACCGCTGGCTCAGAGAGCGATCAACTCAAGCATGCCCCTGTCGAGTCGGTGTCCGAACCAGTTAGTTCCTCCAAGGAGCAGGAGACCAAGGGGACGATCAAGCCTGACGAGTCAAAATAATTGCGAATTGGAATTTGAATATCCCCACTGTCATTTGCGCGAATCACTTGTTCCACGTTGGATCGTTTCCTCCCCATGATCATATTTATTTCGCCCATCGTTCTACCTGCCACCTTGCTATGCGCTTACCCACTACCCCGAGTTTACGATACCTAGTAGAGATAGCCCAAGACATTTTCCACCCTTTCTAATGTCACTATAAACCCAAGCCAAATTGAATGTGCATTTGTACCGGACAACAAAACAAAAGGGTATCTCCGACCGGCCTGCATAGCAAATACACGGTCTCAACGCCAAAACCGAACAGACCTCAATGCGCCGACGTAGCAACATGTAACTCTTAAACCCATGCCGACCCCCCAAAGCGATCATTCCACGGCAGGAGCATTACCCACGCGTTTTGAACTAGTCTCCTTGCGCAGATCCTTGATGACAGTCTATAAAGCAGAGTCAGCTTGCACCTTTAATGACGCGCGCAAAGTGCTATTGTCGGGGGGAATCGCGTACTGCCAAAGCATCGGGGTTCACCCCGTTTTCAATGAGAGACACACAAAGCGACAGCTCTGTTCGGTCGAGGTCGGTATTCTATTCGACCTGTTAGTTTGGGGGCTACCATCTTCGCTTTATAGAGAATGACAAAGAATCATGTTTTCTGGAGCACGCACTAGTAGGTCGGAGATCTCCTGGAGAATATCGATGACTTCTCTGGCCGCTTGGCGCTTGTCATCGGCCTGGTCTTGAGATTTTGGGGGCATTTTTTTAATTATTTCGGTGGGGTGTTAGAATGTTAAAGGTTGGATGAAGTTGGGTCGATCTTTTGTGGGGGACTTTTCGGAGGCAATCATTTTTATTGTACGGCAAGTCCGTCAACTGGTATTGGGGGCCTTTTATCACTTTACTTGTAAAGGAATATGCTTCAGGTGTTCTTATTACTGGTGGAAACTCTTGAAGATACTTATCTTCTATTAATATGTACTATATACTAGGCGATCAATTCTCGCATATTCTCTCCCTATTACTCTACATTATACTGAATTCATATTGAAGAATCTTCGCGTATATTTTCCGTCTTTTGACCTTCTGTTTTCTATTACTCTTCTCCATTATACAATATGGAGATTGAGGGAATAAATCATGACCTCTAATATTATCTAGCCGAAGTGGTACCTCAGCCACTTTCAAGGCTGGATAGCTTCATTAATAACCTCATTGTAACAAAAGTGTATGAGTAGCACTTGTGATAGTCTCTAAATACATGCAACGTGATGTACGCTGAGGGGGTTTTGCATTAAAAATACAAATTATATGTACCTTGTTGATCCTCAAGGAATTGCAATACAATCTTCAGACTCCCAATCCTTCCGGATGAATGCATTGCTCAAGGGCCATTGACCCGTAAATCATCTATACCAGTAAGACGTTGATTCTCTCGTTATTTCGCCCCCAACCCTACGGGATCTCCGAGCGGGACAACGTGCAATCTGTGCTGAAATGATCTTATCCGAATGAAGAAAGTGGAACGGGAGAATTAGTGACAAGACATGTACACTTAACTATCCCTTTTAGGATGCTGCCCTGATACTCTAGAATGTCATCTTAGATCAAAATGACAAGACTACCCATGCTCGCCTGTTAGACTTTTGCCATTTAAGACTCACTGTGGCTTTCAATGTTTAAAGAGAGTTTCTTTTTTCTATATATCAGGCTGGAAATAAACCGCCAATATGAACATGACATCAGTCTTTGGGCCCCCACCAGAGGGGATCAATCTCGACGAAAATAGAAATGCGGAAGATACGGCTGCTGTCGTAACTGTATGTGCGCTTGCCATATTCACGATTAGCTTCCGTCTATTTGTGCGATTGTATATGCAAGGAGTGAAGCTGGAAGCCGATGACTGGCTGATTGGGATAACGGCCATTCCATTGGTGGCATTACTTGCATCATGTATTCTTGGTACGTCTGAATCCGACCTTATTCGGAAAAGAAACTAACAGTATACAAATCAGGTGGCACCTACGGCTTCGGTTTGCATATCTGGTGTGTAACAGTGTCGAACATGGTCATAATGAAAAAGGCACGAACCAAAAACATTCTATATCCCACAGCTAAATCTAACCGAATATAGATCCTCTTTGCCTATCTCATTGTCTATCTCGTCGAGCTTCTCCTCATCAAATTCTCCATCCTCATGTTCTACCGTCGAATCTTTGGCATGAACTGGATGATCTGGGCCACTCTTTTAATATGCTATGGCTGGTGCATAGGAAGCATGATCGCTGCCCTATGCGCATGTGATCCAATTTCATATTTCTGGACCGAAATCACTGACCCTACATCTGGCTCATACCGATATAACTTCTACTATTACTACATTGGGAACGCGGCTGCCAACGTCATGACGGACATTCTGATTCTGCTCGTCCCGATGCCTATTGTTTGGAATCTCCAGATGCGAACAATGCAGAAGATTGGCGTGTGCGCAGTACTTCTTCTAGGCGGATTGTATGTTCCCGAATCAACCTCTTCCAAAACCACTGCTAACATAATTCTGTCTTAGTGTCTGTATCGCAAGCGGCATTCGAATCCACTACCTAACCTACCTCGATGGTAACATCGATATCACATGGGCCTTGGGTAGTGTATCCGTGTGGTCAACTGTCGAGCCATGTGTCGGAATCATTTGCGCCTGTCTTCCTGTCCTCCAGCCATTTGTCCGGTCAATGGTCAAGAAAATGCCCAACTTACCAGGCACCCACCATTTCGGGGCCTCGCGTGGACTGTCTAGTTTTATACAGAGGATATCTCTCCACGATCGTGAAAACGACAAGTACGATATGTCATGCAGAACGAGTCCTACCCCCTTCCACCCAGAAGAAGACCTAGATCCTCTTACGTCGGTCAGGACTCATGTGGAGATAGATCCGAAAGAGAGGATTAGTGGAGAGGAGAATCTGGATCCTATGGCTATTCGTGTTAAACAAGTTGTGCATTGGAGTGTTGATTAAACTGGTCCAACGGTTATTTTCTTTGTTCGGCGTTATGTGGTTAATGAATATATGTACCCTTATACCTTTGTAGGAGATTGTTCGGCTTTAGTGTATATACCATATGCAGGCTATAAAAGTCATTCTCTTTTGCATTTCCCCCCTTCTCACTACCTTTTCCTTTTCCCTCTTCCTTGTATTTGGATAATCCAAGGTTGCCTTGCTTTATTGTGATGGGTATAGAATTTTTTTCCCCACTCGAGCACTCTCTCGGTTTCGCTATAAATACCTCTATCTTTCTCTTCAACAAAATCTTCTTTGACTTGCGGTTTTAAACCCAAGCCAGGCGTGACCACAAAGTCACATGTCCAAGAACAACCTTACTGGCTTCATATCCATGAGAAACAACTGGCATGTGTAAGCCGAGTTGAAGTTTGATTCACGACGATGCCAGGGGATTTGCGTGGGACAACAATCTATGAAGACCGGCGGAGGATAAGCAGATTATCAGCGGTGCGCTTTTGAGCGAATCATCCAGCCCTATATATTGTTCTAATAACTCATGGCATGAAGTTTAAGAGGATTACCACATCATCGCATACGACAAGGATAGGAACCTGAATATTTCTCCTCCCCGAAAATGCGTGCGTGCCCAATCTCCTGGTCTTTTTGCTCATCGTCCACAACGATCTATTCGGTAGGACTAATGATTGATCGACTTCCACTCCGAGGTATTTACTCGATCGTCTGACAAAGAGAGAATTTGTTAGCAGACTGAGCGATTATTTGCTAGACCTCAGGGCATGAACACGCTGCTTTTTCATGGATTGGAGAATCAAGATTTCGTCCTTATCTCTCTCCCCCAACCATACCGAGATAGGCCGCAAACTTCAGAAACCAGTTCCCCCCCCAGGACATTCCTCTTGTGTCTGATTTCTCCAGACACTCTGTCCGGGGTATATTTCACGTTGAGACCCTGTTGCCAATATTGTGTGGATTTATTCAAGAGGCACGAGGAGCTTACAGCCCACAGATAAAAAGACGTTGAAGTATACTTGTAAGAGGATTGTGGGACCAAACTTGGAGCTCCTGATAGTGCCCACATTCGCATAGTCATAGGGAGGACTGATATAGAGGAAAATAAAGCGATATCAGCGCGAGGCGAACGGCGATCCCTATTAAAAGGCCAAAGCAAAATGTATTCAGAGGTCTAATCAAGACAAGTCAAGCGGCAAAGATCGTACTTGAACTCTTCTCTCACTCGAATTTCCTACATCATCATCACCATCATCTGCTGCCGGGTTGAGGTCTATCATCATGCCTGTCAGAATGACTGCGTTCTGCAACAACTCGGCATACATCATCCCACCACCTGAGCCGCCATTAGCCTGGCAACGGTTCCGAGATCGACCTTGTCTCTTCCTCGCCGGCAAGCTCTATTCCTGACGACCAATGAACCTCCCTCAACTACCTACAAACCCCGTATCTATTCACTCACACACCACCATACGCGCATCGCGACTCTTTTTGAGGCTGCCCGCATTTGTTGAATGAGATGTGGAGGGGTCCTCCTCGTCTGCATGTCTTCGGATGCGCTCTTGAGAATTATGGGATTGAAATTCTGCGCTATGATGCTCTCAAGAGGTTATGGAGAATATTGAGGCTTAGGGTGGGGGTCTTTTTGATCTTCTGACGGTGTTCAAAGTGGTTATGCAGGTCTTTTTCCGGCCCGATATCAGAGCCAAGTCTCTGCTGGTAAATACATGCATGAACGGGGGATTATGGAATCTTGAACGCGAACCGATCACGGTTATCATATGATTTGGTCTGGGGAGGTCAATTATGTGCTCAGGTGCTTTGCAAGATGTGACTCGACATGTCTCAAAAACAAATCAGAAAACGGTATCTTGTATGTGTACAAACTGGATTAAATACAAAGGGCCCTAAGCCCTACTATGCGCTGACAAAAACTGTGGTTATCAAAGTACACTATAACGACGGCTTCTCGCGAAGACAATGTTTAACGGGGCGTACCCTTGCCCTTGGATGACATATTCGCTGGCTACAGCATCAGTGCTAGCGAACGGGGCGTTCCACGTATACTTGTGGCCACTCTGAGATTGAGGCGCGACATCTATAGAGGACGGCTTTGCTTGTCTGGTACCAAGCGCCACTGTGTTTGTAAAAGCCTTGACTCGCAGCTCAATCACCGATTTCTAGGAATCATCGACCACATAATCTGGACTGTTCAGAATATTAGCGACCAATACGCTGGCCTTCTTACTGTCGTATGCGAGGGGTCGTTCCCACGAAGCCGGGTCTCCAAGGGGGTTAATATACGACGCAATGGCGATCTGCTAGCCGGCGTCCTCTCCCGAACCTCCATCCGACAGCCCAGGGCCTTTATTCACGCCACCACCTGTATAGTCATCTGGGTATTCGGAATCTGGAGCAAATCCGTCAATGGTCAAAGGAGAGCTGTTTTCTCCCTCGTTTATATTGTCACTACAGATATAAAAGGGTATATAGTTCTTTCGATAACAATCATATCATACACTCAAAGGATAGAAAATTAACGAAATTTTGACGTAGGCACCAGAACCAGCCTGCCAGGTCTTGAAATTTGACTTATATAACCCGGAGATAATGGGGGCGACTAGATTTGCTACTCATCACAAGGGCCGTGATACCCAATATGGGTATTTCCCTGTTTGTGGCCTTATTATTGAAAGATGAGGTTTAGCAACATGCTCGTCACTATGACCCTCAACGTTCTATCAACTCTTTGCTACCTCTCTACTGGCAGGTTTCTCATCAAAGAGGCTGACCTTCTCGACATGCTTTTCCTGTCGCTCCCGCGCTCATGTATCGCAGCGTTCACCTAGTGCCGACGAAGATAGGTTCTGTAATCTTCTACGACGGACTGATGCGACATTTCTGGCCGAGTAAGCGGGGCCACCGCAGCCATAGGTTTCGGATACACTCATTAAACGTGGGAGCTGGATGAAAATGGGAATTGGGAATGGTGCCATGAGACATGGGGGAGGGAGAATGTCAGATGTTTCCTGTCCAATGCCATTCGAAGAGAATTGTCGCGGAAACTGCGGTTGTTGAAATGGGAACGTGAGAGAAGGGAAGGCCGAGCAGTGAAGGTCTTCTGTCAGGAGGGCACGGCGTATGGCGCTAAACTGAAAACGGCAAAGCCAACCCGACACAATAAATCACAGGCCCGTTTACGCATAAACTCACACAGTTACAGTGTCAAATATCTGGAACAGGCGTGTGTTAAGCGTGTGGAATGGCACCTCAATACGAGACTGGATTGGGAGGAATGCCCCTCACCATCTCCGACATTCATTCCTTGAAGAGGAACGAAGCTCTGGAGATTCTTGCCCAGATTTCACGCGTCGAGAAAAAGACCTTTCCCACCAATGAAGCATTCCCATTTGGCGAAGACCTGTGGAGAAAAAAGCCCAACACGAGAGTACTGTACGCGACTCGAGCCAAGGGATCGCAATCTGATCTGATTGCCTATGCGGTCTATGTCCGACAGAAGGGCGTTGCGCTTTTGCACAAAATCTGTGTGACGGAGCCTAACCGTCGTCAAGGTGTTGGCCAGGAGGTACTGTCCTACATTCAGCAGCGCCTACGAAAGGAGGGCTGTCAGTATATTCAACTCTGGGTGGACCAGGCCAGGGAGCCCGCACGCGCCTTGTATCTCCGTATTGGATTCGAGGAGCGTGAGGTTATCCCTGATTACTATGCCCCTGGACGAACGGGCATCAGAATGGTCCTGGATTTAGAAGCTTGATGGGGTTGAGCCACCATCGTCAATGCTGCACCCTTCGGGCCTTTTCCCCTCCCACTAAAAATGTTCCTTGCCTTATTGGTCCCTTTCAAATAGGTCCGAGGGGCAATAAGTCATGATGGTTGGGCGCGTCTGCGCTCCTTGGCCGCCGCAGGAGCCACCTGTGCCTACCCCTTGCATGGACCGGGCGTCTTCGAAACGTGAGGCTATAGCGATCGCGTCTGCGTCCATTCTCCGCTGTCATTCTGCTACATACTTCTGTGATGTCCAACATATCCAGGCATGGCTTTTTTGAAAGGGCACGCCTTGAATGTCTCCCTGGTCCCTTTGGTACGAGAGGGACCACGGTCCTTTTCTGGAAGATCATGCGTGATACTCTTTCACCTTCGTCCCGAATCTTTCTTTTCTTTCCATCTTGACTACTTTCACTACCTTTTTCAGTGAGACTGGAAGCGTTGTTGGTGGTCGATGAGCTAGCTGTGTCTATCCTAGCTATATACAGTTCCAGCGTGCTCGCATTTTCTCAACCATGAGGGTCTTTCTCACCATCGTACTGGCTTTCTTGTCAGTCGTCAGTGCAGCAGCTTTGTCTGCCACATATCCTATCAATGCGCAATTGCCACCCGTTGCCCGGATTTCACAGCCTTTCCGATTTGAATTCGCCCAAAGTACTTTCTCTAACAGCGACGCGGACACTAAATATTCGCTATTAAATGCACCATCATGGCTCAAAGTGGACAGCAGCAGTCTCACCCTGTCCGGAACGCCACACCCAGGCGACAATGGCGTCATTAGGTTCAAGCTTGTGGCATCAAATGAATCGGAAAAAGACAGCATGGACGTTACTTTGATCGTGACGGCAGACCAGGGACCGACGGTGAACAAGCCGCTTGTACCTCAGTTGCAGAAATTGGGACCGGTCTCATACCCTGCCAGGCTGTTCATCCATCCAGGTCGCCCATTCTCAATTAAGTTCGATCAGGATACCTTTGGCAACACGCATCCTTCCACGATCTACTACGGAACCTCGCCGAACAACGCTCCGCTGCCTTCCTGGATCAATTTCGACCCGGCAACCTTGAAGTTTGCTGGAAATAGCCCTGCTTTTCCAGGCGCGGGGCCTCAAACCTTCACTTTCCAGCTGATCGCATCGGATGTAGCTGGGTACAGTGCGGCCAACATGACTTTTGAACTTTCGATCGGTCCCCATATT